TTCCTTCCTTCCTTCTTTCTTTCACTCCTTTCTTCCTTTTTCCTGATTTTTCTATCCCCAAGAGCTAATACAGTGCCTGACATATTTGTTGTTCAGTTGTTTGACTCTTTGTGACTTCATTTGGGATTTTCTTGGCAGAGATACTGGAGTGATTTGCCATTTCCTTCTCCTGTTCATTTTATAGATTGGGAAACTGAGGCAAATAGAGTTTAAGTGACTTGCCCAGGATCACACAGTTACTAAATGTTTGAGGCCAAATTTGAACTCAGGAAGATGTCTTCTTGATTTCAGGCCATCACTCTATCCAGTGTGATACAGCTAGGTATAGCTGCCCTGGACCTGACACATAATGGACATTTAATAAATGTTTGAGTTGATTTACATTTTTTAAATTAAATTTCATGTTTTCAATGAACAAGTATTTGTTTTCTCTCTGACCTTCTCCCTGTGGGAAAAAAAGAGAAACAAAGTCCTTGGAAGGGATATGCAATAAAAAAATTGAATTTTTCACAAATTTGTGTGTCATCTTTGTGCAGGGGCCATGTTGATCTTTACTGTATGATTCCAATTTTAGTATTTATGCTGCTGAAGTGAGTATTGAAGTGAATTAAAATGTTTGTTATGCTATTATTATTATTACTCAATCTGTACTTGTAATGTTTTTCAGTGTGGGGAAATCACAGTGTGGAAATTCCCTCCACTGATGCCAATTGGAAACTGGTCTTTGAATTTTAGTCTTAGAGTTGCCTTAGAGTACTGAGAAGTTAAACAACTTGACCAGGGTCACACAGCAAGTATGTATAGGAAGTGGTATCAGAACCCATGTCTTTCTTTCTCCAGAGCAAGTGTGCTAGTCGTTAACCCATTCTTTCTTTCCTTAATTAAGTGATTGATTTCAAAATCTTACTTAATTGTCTTTTTATGACCGGTTGATAAAAGAACTTTTCCTATTGGCAATGCTTTTGTCAATGTTTCTGGCTGGGTAATATACTGTGATGAGAAGTAAATTTCCCATTATTTTGGGAACATGGTTATTCCCCAACATGATCATCATGATTCTATGTTCTCTGTGTTCAAAGAGTATGTTGAGGATGCTTGGGTATTAAAGGTACCAAACAGTGGAAAGAAAAGGGGATCTAGAGTAAGAAGCCCTGAGATAAAATTTGACCTTTATTTCATGCTTACTTATCTTGGAATTTTGCATCAATCTCTTCTTCTCTGCAAGACTCAGTTTTCTCATCTGTAATTAAGGAGGGTAGACTAGATGGCTTCTGAGGTCCCTTGGGACCTGTAGTGGTTGTGTAGGTACAGGAAGGCTTTACATTGTCAAGTGGAAAGAGGATAGTTTTTTTTCCCTATGAGAACACCTATTGGTTTTTCTTATTTAAATGTTTCTGTTGTTTTTTGAGGGGGTGGGGTGGGGTGGGTGGGTGAGGTGCATTTCTGACAAAGGACTTGGAAATCAGATTCAATCAAGCAAATGTTTTTTGAGTGCTTGTCACGTGTAAGGGATTGAGCGAGTGTGTTGTAATGGGTACAAAAATGAATGAGATGCAATACCGGCCCTTAGCACCCCTCTGCCAATCTGCACAATAATAAAAATGCACAAATAATTATAACAGATCATAGATTGAACCAACAATGTTGTAAAAGCAATAACAAAGTCACTGTAGATTGTCATCATAATTTAGTGAGGTATAGTGTGGACTAGTGAATAGATACTCAGTCTTAGAGAAAGGATGATCTGGGTTCAAGCCTTAACTCCAACACAGAATGACTAGGTAATCATGGTCAAGTCATTTAAACCTCTCTGCATCCCAGGTAATAGCTAGTTGTTGATCTGCCTTGGCACAGAGAGCTTCCACGCAGAGTTCTTCACACTGTTAAAATCACAGATTTAGACCAAAGAAAAATAAAAACAGTGAAATTAAGCTCTAAGCCCTATGAAACATGTGCAGAGGTGATCTACACATTGAGTAGGTAAGATGCTTCAGTGTACTATAAAATTGATACTTGAATATTTTAAGGATCCATGATCTCAGTCATGAGGGACCTCTTTAATGAAGCAGCTGGTAATCTTCATGTGCTCAGGTTTGCTATTTAAAGAACTACAATGTCCTAAGAATGCTCATCATCCATGATCATAATTCTCTCTGGATTTCTCCAGGACAATCTTCAGATGATAGATAGACATACTCCAGCTATACTGTCCTTGGGAACATAGCCTGGGTTCTCTGGCCCTGATATTTTTGTTCATGCTGTTCTCTATACCTGGAATGCCCCCCCCTCTTCCTTTATTTGCTGAATTCTCATCCAGATGCCCAACTCAAATGGCCTTCCTTCATGTATTTAATTTCACAAACATTTATTAAGTGCCAAGAGGGAATATACAATTCACTGTGGGAATAAGGAGGCACATAGTAGCATGAGCAGTCAGTCAGTCAACAAGCATATATTTGTATATATTTGCATTTGAATTCATACTACACTTCCTGATGGCATACTATATTCCAGACAGTATGCTAAGCACTGGGGAAACAAAGAAAGGCAAAAACAGTCCCTGCCCTCAAGAAGCTCATAGTCTCATGAGGAGACAAACTGCCAACAACTGCATACTAACAAGATACACACAGGATAGAGATGATAGAGGGAAAGGACTACCATTAAAGTGTATCAGGGAAAGATTTCTTGTAGAAGCTTGGATTTTAGAGGGGACTTGAAGGAACTCAGAGAGGAGTTATAACTAGGAGATGAGGAGAGAGGGATTACCAGCCCAGGTGGGGTAGCTGGCAAAAATTCCTGGAACAAGGAGAAGGAATGTCTTGTATGAGGAAAACAAGGAAACTGATGTCACTAGATTACAGGTCATGGGAGAAGGAATAAGGTGTTAGAAGACTGGAAAGGTAGAATGGAGCCAGGGTATGAAGGGAATTGAAGGTCAAACAGAGGATTTTATGTTTGATCCTGGAGGTAATAGGGAGCCACTGGAGTTTTTTGATTAGGGCCATGGTCAGAACTGACTTTTAGAAAGATCAGTGACAACTGAGTGAAAGAGCAGGCATGTAACATGTCAAAGAAGCAAATGAACTGAAAAAAAACCCAGTATAAAGTATTTACATAAAGAGATGATTAGAAAACAAAATGGATTGGTTTCACAATAACAATTAGGGATAATCAATGGAGAATTGAAATTCTCAGCTCAGCCAGTGGTAGATTAACACCACAGATCTTCCAACATCAATTATTTCCATATTTTATCCTCTTTGATAATTTGATAGGTGTGAGATAAGACAACTGTTTTTATGTATTTTCTCTGATTATTAGTGACATTTCCCCATGACTGTTAACGTTTGACATTTTTTTCTTTTGATCACTCATTTTTTAAGATAAGATGAAGAAACATCAACATATATTAAAAATAGAAGGGATGCAGCCTTTTTGCTTTCTAAAACAAAGGATAGTAATGGAAGCTTGTTCTGAAGAAGGGTTGTGAGAAATCAAGAGGGGAGAACACATGCAAAAAGCAATTTGTAAATAAAGGTTTCTTGATTGCTCAGCAGTAAAATGGAAGCATGAAAAAAATGAGAAAAAAGGTGGGTTTTTGGTCAGCCACAGTCCCATAATTTTAGCCCACAAAATGATGTACGTAGTTTTTTGAAAGCTTTCAAAAACAGATGACCTATAAAATCATGACTAGGGAAGTAGATGATGAATATTTTTAAGATTTAGTTATGTGTAGATGGAAAGAGTTTCCATTTTATCATTTGAATGCATGTTACACTTCCTGATGGCATGCTTTGAGCTGACACTATCAGATTTTTTTCCCACAATGGGAATTTGTAACAAATTCTGTAAACCCTTTGATGGCTGAAATCTGAAGCAAGACTGATGCTGCTTGGCTAAAACAGTTCCTTGCTGTTCAACTATTGACTTCTCCTAGAAAGAAATCCCTGATATCTAAGCTAATGTTTCCCTGCCCTCTGGAAAAGGAAGGAACACAGAGTGATTTTGTACAAGGATCTTTAGATTTGTTAGAAAGTCAGAGAAACCTGGGCTTGGCTTCCATCTCTGCCACTAATTCGTCGTGTGACCTTAAGGAAATCATGGAACTTCTTTGGGTCTCAGTTCCATTATTTTGAAAATGAGGGGGTTTTCTCATCTTTAAATGCTATAGCCCCACTCTCCTGGTAGCTGCCAACACACTTTTAGAAGTAGTGATTTACAAATTGATAGCAAAGTTGACGAAGTGTTTTTGCCTGGTAGAGTTGTTAGCTATGAGAACAATATAGTGGATCATAAAGTTATTTTTCGTTTGGAGTTAGTTGAAAAAGCAGAAAGAGTTTTAGTCATTCCAGGAGAGATTTGGGGAATGGTCTAAGGACAGGACAGAGGACAGTTGGAGTACTTGAAAAATACTAAACCAACATCACCACCATGCATAGTTTTTTTTAAATGAAAAGATCATACTATGCTATTGTATTGACCTTTCCAATGAAATGGGTTCTGATTCTTTTTTGTTTCATCACTTGTACTCTCCTTTCTCCCCTGAAGTCAAGAGAAGAGAATATGAACATTAAGTACAGCAAGAGATATTTAGGGATGGATAGCATAAGTCACAAGGAGGATTATGGATGATCCTCAAAAGCACTGAGCAAGTATTTACTTTGAGTGGTGCAATGCTAAGCATGGTATGAAGTAAGTAAATCTGATATAAACAGGTAGATGGTACAATAGATAGGGTGCTGTAGTTAGGAAGACCTGAGCTTAAATCCAGTCTCAGACATGTACTAGCTATGTGATCTTGGGTAAGTCACAACCTTTTCTTGCCTCAGTTTCCTCAACTGTTAAAAGGGGATAATAATAACACCTACCTCCCAGTGTTGTTGTGAAGATCAAAGTAGATAATATTTGTAAAGTACTTAGCACATTGCCTGGACTGTAGTAGACACCATAGAAATGTTGTTGTTGCTGTTGTTATTATTATTATGTTATGTTATTATTAGTAATATGAATAATATAATAATAGTTTAATAACATGAATAATAGTTTCAGAGGCCAGTGAACCCCAAAGAAGTCAGTGAACTTGGATGAGAAATTTACAACTTTATTTCAATCTTCTTGGTTTGCTTTGTAATTCTATGCATTTAATTTTATATATGTAAAGATATTATTCTGAGGAGAGATCTATAGGCTGCATCAGACTACCAAAGGAGTCCATGACCTGGAAAAGTTTCCCTGTTGTCATAACTACTAAGGAAGATAATAGCTCACCATTTCCTTGGCAATTTCTTTGTTGGGTGCTCAGCCATTTGGACTTTGATGGGCCCATCCTAGATACCTTGCCATGTAGACCACAGATGAGTGTGCATACTTTCTAAGATGACAGTACATTTGTAAACCATTTCCTGTAAATGTGAATAGGTAAGGTCTAGGTGAGATATTGCTCCTTGGGAGCTGAAAATGACCATGGACCAGTTTTGATTTCTTCTACCCTCTGAAACTATTATTCTAAACCAACCAAGGGAAAGAAAAGCTTTAGTCACTTCTTAGATTTCTGTTTGAGAATAATCTTTCTCAACGAGCTAATGGAAGCACTTG